ATACTCTCCTCTTCCTCCAAAGCTCCTTACGCTGTTAAACAAGGAGCTTGCGTTCCATTATACCATTGCGCAGGTAATTCTGCCACACACTCACTCACTCACTCATTCACAATCACACACACACACACACACACACACACACACACACACACACACACACACACACACACGCCCACGCCCATTCCCATGCACATACATTTGTATCCGTCTCAGCATGTTACACGCAGCCTGCGTTCGTCTATGATCTATCCCACATTCGCTTCAAGTCCTTGTGCAAGAATCAAAAGTGCAACGTTCATTTTCTCCCTTTCCATATCCCCACCCATTTGTTATTTAGCCTCTTCTGTCTCCCGCTCCCATCCTCCCCCTGTTCCCTTCCCTACCTCCAACCCTCTTTTCCCTCCTGCTCCCCCCGGCCCAAACCCCATCTTCCCCTCACCAACACCCTTCCCTGCCACTCCAGCGCTTTCCCCTGGGCTATCGCCCTTGGGCCCATCGCTGCTCCCTCATCCCTCTCATGACCCCTGATATGGTATGTGCGCGTACAAGAGGATGGGTCCAGTATTAAGCGCCTCAAAACTAGACTCCCCTGGGCTATCGCTCGCCCTTGGGCCCATTGGTGCTCCCTTATCCCCCTCATGCCGCCAGATATGGTATGTGTGCGCACAAGAGGATGGGCATGGTGCACAGGGGGGGATGTGCATGGCGCACAATTGGGGCATGCGTGCATGGTGCATGGGCCATACATGGATGGCACGCATTTGGGGCCGTCTGTCGCTTCTCTGTTCTCTTCACTTTTGAGTCGACTCATAATTTATGGCGCACAGGAGGGCATGCATGCATGGCACGCATATGGTGATGTCTGCCACTTCTCTGTTCTCTTCGCGTCTCGCCTCACCCCCCCTCCTCCTCCCCCTCAATCCGCCGATCTGCACTCCCTATGTTCTCGGCCATGTTCTTTTTGTTCCCCTTCTCCCCCCACAATTTTCCCTCATTCCCCACCTGCATGACGTCGCCTCTTTAACATCCCCCTTGCACCACTCCTCTCGCTTCCCCCCTCATCGCCCTATCTGTTTTTCGCCTTCACTGTTTCTCTCCTCTCTCCTGCCTCTTCTCCTCCTCTACCCCTCCTCTCTCGCTTTTCTCTCCCACCTCTCCCCGTCCTCTTGAACTCCTCTTTCCCTTTTCACTCCATCCTCTCTTCCTCCTCTATTCCTCCTCTCTTCCTCCTTTCCCCCTCCGCTATCCGTCCTATCTCCCTCCTCTCTTCCTCCTCTCCCCATCTTCCCCTCCATTCCGCAGTGGCAGCAGCAGCTGAGCAGCACCAGGGAGTGGGCAGCGCGGAGTGTGGAGGATAATTGCCTCTTCCACTACCGTAGAGTAAGTGGCCTTGAAGGGTGGTGTTGAGGGTTGACTTGGATGAAGGGCTGACTGGGTCGATGGGGTGAGTGGGCTTTGAGGCCCCTATGAACTCCCCTGATTCCTGCCAGGAAATTTTCAGGGCACCTCGAAAAACTGTTAGGTGCCTCAAATGTTTCACAGTTCACCCCCCGAATTCCTTTCCTGCCGGGATTACAAGCATGCTTTTGCAGATCCCCGCACCCTCCCTCGCCAACTCGGTCGGCCACCACCCTCCCCGCACCCTCCCTCCCCTACTCAGGCACCACCCTCCCCGCACTTCCCTCCCTCTTTTCCCTCTTCCATTCTTTCCCTCCGTTCCATTGCATTCCAAACCAGCAGGAGCTTCTTTCAGCGTTGCTGCGACCTACATTTCCCCCCTCTTCAACCTCCTCCTCCTCCTCCTCCTCCTCCTCCTCCTCCTCCTCCTCCTCCTCCTCCTCCTCCTCCTCCTCCTCCTCCTCCTCCTCCTCCTCTTCTTCTATTTGCACGAGCAATACCACCAACACCAATTCAACCAGCCGCACCAGTATCATTGCCAACACCAGTACCATCCACAGCAGCTTACAGTCACCATTAGCATCACCATTAGCATCCTTACCACAGACCATGCCACCATCACCATCGCCAGTAGCGCGTACAACGACTCACGCACAGTCAGCATACACCTTTGCACAGTCAGCTGCATCACCAGTACAGTCACTCGTCTCACGATCCCTGCTGTCACAAATCTGGCTGGTACGTAAGAAAACAGATGGCATGGCCTGCACTAGCAACAATTCCCACTGCTTCCTCTGTGTCTTGAGCCGTGTGCAAGCCTCCCTTCTTACACGCAACTGCATTCTGCTCTACATCACTTTCCCCCTCCCACACTCCCCCATCTCTTCTTTCCCTCCCCCATCCTCTAACCTGCACAAACCCACTTCTCCTCCCCGTGCCACTCTGTGTTGCAGGAGGAGTGGAACTTCCTCCTTCCACTCATCCACTGGTATCCTAACAGGGAGGTGCGTTTCCCAAGAGGACAACCTCTTTTTTTCTTTCTCTTTTTTGTGGATTTCAAAAATGTGGATTCCAGATTTTGCAAGTGTATGTGTCACTGGAACAGGAAGAGAGCATAGTTACAAGCTGTGTGAGTGCAGTTCATGGTCTCTCTTACTGTTATGATACTGATCTGTTTCTGTGTGTATGAAGTTCCGCCTGAGAGGAAGCATGAGCTGCTCTTTGCATCCTTTGTCTCCTGGTCTTTGTAACCTTCTCTGTGATTCCCCCCCCCCCTCCCGTCCCCCCCCCTATTTCTCTGATGCGCCTCAAGAGTAGCTTCCCATCTCGTCGTGGCCTTAACCTGTCCTTTCCCCCCCACCCACACACCCTTCCACCAACCCCCGTCCGCCCTTGTCTGATCCCACAGGCTCTCTGGATCCACCGTCGCTTCCTCGCGCTCTTCTGGTGCTGCCACCTGTCGCGGCCTGATTGGCTCTCGCCTCGGAACCTCCTGCTGTTACAGCAGCAGAAGCAGGCGTGTGGGAATAGCAGAGGAGGGTCAGCAGATGAAGTGGTGGTGGCCGGGGGAGGGGAAGGGGAAAAGAAGGAGGAACGGATGCATGATGTGAGAGGGAAGGGTGAGGAGAAGGAGAAGAAGGGAGAGGGAAAACAGGGGAGGAAGGATGGAGAGGGTACATGGAAGGAGGTTCAGGGTGGGGCAATGATACTCTCTGATGTGATGGAGAGGGAGGTGAGAGAGGTTGTGATGGGAGGCGAGGAGCGGTGCAGCAGCCGTGTGAGGGAGGTGAGAGACAGTGCAGATGCGGATGTAAGCAAATCTTCTCGTGCTACTGCTTCTGGTGCCACTACTTCTGCTTCTTCTGGTGCCACTACTTCTGCTGCTGATGATGCTTCTGGCAGTAGCGGTTGCGGTAGTGGTGGCAGCAACAACAGCAGCAGCAGTGCAACAGAGGAGGAGCGCCGGGCAGGAGAAGAGCTGCGGTTGAGCTACTGTCTCTGGATGCTCAAGCAGGTAGGCTATCCACACTCTTGTGAATTCTTGTGCTTTCCTCCCATCGCCTTCATCCCAACGTATGTGCTCTGACCAGCTCTGCGGTCACCATGCTGCTGGTTCCCCCACCAATTCCTGCTCTCCCTCCTTCACTCCCTGCGCTTGCTGCTGGCATTCACCTTCCCATTTTGCCCTCCCTTATCCCCCTTCTTCATCCTGCCTCACTTCGCCTTTCTTTTTTCCCCCATCCCAACCCCCCCTTCAACCCCGTCCCCCCATTTTTTTCCACTCCAGTTACTGCAGAGAACAGTTCCCACGTGCACCACATGTTCCATTCAAAGCACAACCACCAGCACCAGTGCAGACGCCACACAAGCAGACAACAGCCAGGAAACCTCTGTCAGGACGATTGTCACTCGCACCTTCCCAAGCCGCAGTGCCAGCCTGGGGATCAACAGCGGAACTCCACACAGGAGCACTCAAGTAACGACCACTAGCAGGGTTGTTAGTGGGGGCAGTAGCATCGGCAGCGGTGGTGGCAGCTGCGTCTCCTGCAGTGGCAGCAGTGGCGGCAGCAGCAGCAGCAGGTGGGGGAAACCTCGTGAGTGCTCTGTCCAGTTAGGAAATCTGGATAATGTAGACCTCAAGGCCACAGGCTCGCAGGGTAACTCCAGTGCCTCGGAATTACCAACCATAGGGAATATCCCTGGTGGCACTGGCAGTGCAGGTGAGGGGGCAGCGGAGCGAGAGTGGTTTGAGCGTTGCATGCATAGGCGGCAGCATCTGCAGTCACTCTTGACTGCTGTGTGCCCGTGGCGTGCTGCCATGTGGAGCGAGCTCTGATGTGTGTAACGAGTGCAGCATGCGTGTACGGTAACAAGTGTGCAGTATGTGCAATTTTGCCGCATGTGTAGCATGTGTGAAACATTTGCCGCACTGATTCAGCCAGTGTTACCACTTCAATCAGTGACAGATGGTTCAGTGTGGTTCATTCGTGTGGTTCATTCGTGTGGTTCATGTGGTGCAGTGTTTGTTCATTGTCAAGCTGACTTTCAACCACAATACTCAACATCATCAATACGGTACAAGCTACCAAATAGTTCGCCCAGCAAGCAGTGCACAACAGCACACCCTCATCAGCACAAAACCCTCACGCTTCGCCCATCTCACCCCTCTCCATCATGCCTACAAACCCACTGCTGCTGCCATCAGTTCACACCACCGACAAATTCACCCCTACCCCAGTTGTCACCATCAAATTCAGCACCAACGGAGTCGCCGCTATCATCATAATAGCTACCGTTATAGTCACCATTGTGGTCACCCACTGCCATTGTCGCCAGGGCCATAGTCCATGGTCTTGCTGGGCACGCTTACAGCCCCACCGTGCTCCCAGCGCCCAGCCGCCCTGTGAGGATGCCCTCCTAGATTCACGCCGTGGTTCATGCCGTAGTTCATGGCGCGATTGACGCCGTGGTTCACTCTGACGATACTCTCCCTGCTAGCGGCGCCATTCCTCCTGTGAATAGTCACATCCTTGACCGATGCCATGTGAGGACGCCCGTCATAATTAGCGCCGCAGCGCCATTCCTCGTGTGAATAATTACGTCCTCGGCTGATGCCATGTGAGGACGCCCTGCGAGATTTGCGCCGCCACTCACGCCGCGGTTTCCGCCGTGAATTACTTCGCGGTTCACGCTGCGACTCGCTCCGCGATTCTCCACGTTAGCAGCGCCGTTCCTCCCGTGAATAATCACGTCCTCAGCTGACGCCATGTGAGGACGCCCTGCGAGATTCAAGGTACCGCTCACGCCGCGATTATCGTCGTGAATAATCACGTCTTCGGCTGACGCCTTGTGAAAAGCCTCGTTCAGCGCGCTGTGGCTGTTAACAGCAGCATCTTCACGATGCGCCACCATGCCAAACGCTCCGCCACTATCCCTGCTGCTGCGGTGGCTGCGCTGATTGTGATTCCTCGGGCTGCCACTGGCGCCTCGGGCGCGCTGGTGATTAAAGGTTGGAGCCTCGCCATGAGGGGCATTACTACCTCGCGAGAGGATCTCCACGTCGTTTTCGCTGGCCATGCGAAATTCCGCGACACTCCGACGAAATGACGCCGTTTCGCCAGTGAGGTGGTTACCAGCGCGGTGGTTACTACTGGTAGGGTGGCGTGTACCAGTGCCACTGATAGTAGCGCGACGAATGGAGTGTGGACTTGCACCTGATGGCGTGTTCTCCTCAGCGTAGAACACGAGGGGTTCAGAAACTCGTTCATGCACAGTTTCGAGGGAGCGAAGCGGTTCGGAATGCATGTGGTAGTCCCCCCACGAAATTGCATCGCCGTTCGTCGCGGACGGCGGGATGGCTGTGCTGCTGGGCAGACCTTGGCGGGATGCAGGGTAAGCTGTGCAGGTGCCGACGGTGATCAGCAGAACAAGCGGAACCAATGCCGCGATGAATCGTCGATTCGCCATAATTTCGCTCTGAAGCCTCATGCAGGAACCTTGTAACTGCTGATCACCGCGGTCTCTGCAGGAACCTTGTAACTGCTTCACTGAAAGGTGGTTTTGTAGGGTCTGTTGGTATAGCACGAGGAGATGGGAGCAGAGAAGAATTCTGTGACGAGTCGATAGAAATCTGTGCTTTGGGAATTGCTGCTGCCGCACATTTATATTGGTGATTCTGGGTTCGAGATGCGCCTCGGTTGTGCGTGCTGGGTTGGGATGGGATTCACGAAGGAAATTGCGAAGCGATGGCGAGTGCGGTTACGGACGTCGAGTTCCGTGAGCGAGACGGGACGCGAGGTTCAAGGGGACAGACACCTTGATTGACCGACACTGCATTCGCTCCTTCGCGTTACCGAAAAATGGTATCGCTGGGCTTCGGCGACGCCTTCTCGTGTTCGTTGTTTTTGAAATATGAATATTTTAAAAAAGCTGTAACGCTTTTCAAAATTTGTATTTTGAAAGCGAAGCGGCTTGTAATGTAGCAATGACATCGGCGAACCGCGCTAAACGTCCGTTTTGGAGTACAAAACGTGGGCTGGAGGTCATTTCCCTCCACCCACGTCTTTCATTTTCAAACGGCTTAGCCTAGTTTCCGAGTTCCCAATTCCAAGCTGGCGAAATTGAAGTCACTACCTCGTTTCCAGTCTCCGTCCACACTCCTTTCGGACTTTTTCGCTCATAACGCGGTGACTATGGCACTTAACGGCGAGAACGGTGACAACGCCAACGCTTCAATTCGTCCCGACGACGGAAATATTACCCGCGAACCCGCGGGCGAACGCCGGAACAAGCGTCGGGCAGACGACGAGGAGTCGACCCCGACCGCCGTCGACATTCTGCTGTCCGACGTCGCTGGGGCACGCGCCCCTGGGGTGCCTCGAGCGCAAGTGGCCCCCGAGGGGCCTGAGGCGCCGGCAGTCAACGAGTGCGCCAAGTCAATGCCGGCCAGCGCGACCGGCACCCCCCGTCAGCGTCAGCGCCGCAGGCAGGCACACGCGCCTGACGCGAGGCCTCAGGCGCACGTGGGCCCTAACGCGCCTCAGGCCCCTGACGCGCCTCAGGCCCCTGACGCGCCTGTGGCCTCGCCTGTCTTCACATCGGCCCAACTGCAGCAGCTGTTGTCCCTGTTACAGCAGCAAGCTCCCGCCGTTACGGAAACCAACGCTACACCAAACGAAACGTCAATTTCGGCTCAAAGCGCGAAGGAAAAAAGGGAGACGGTGAAACGCGCTCGCACGGCAAAAATCGCACGCGCCGAGGGCACCACCGCCAAAGCTACCCCGGCCCCAGAAAATCCCGCCGACAGCGACACTTCCGACGACGAAGCTGGTGAGGCACCTGCCGATAATGCATTTTTTTCAACCACCGAGCACCTCCCCCCCCTCCCCACCTCCAACCCTAACCTCACCGCATCCTCCTTCAAGAACGCTGCTGTTCGTGAACAAGCCGAGCTCCTTGAGGACCTGCGCGCCTACCTGATGCATGCGGAGCAGAAAGTGCGGCTCAACGAACCGGCAAGCGCCATCGAACTCCTCGAGGAGGCGCTCTCGCTCGTCAATAATCGTTTCAAGCTTCTCCACGTCGCCGATTACACGAATTTCCGCGTCGCTAACCGGTTCAAGATGTATGAAGAGAAGAGCTTGTTCACCTCGCGCCCATTCAAGCAAGCCATGGCGGACGTTGCGGCCATGGAACGCGCCCAAGGCAACCCCGGCCGCGCCGCACGAGGTGGAGGGCGAGGAACCGGTGCATTTGGCAACAAACGTGGTCCACCAATGGACAACAACATCAGGAGCTTTCGTGGAACCTGCTTCAAGTGCGGACAGCCCGGCCACATGGCCAATATGTGCCCCGATAATGGGCGAGGGGCCCAAGGACCCGCGCCGGTGGTGTGACCCTACGAGAGGGAAACCACTTGGGGCGCCGAGAGCACGTTGCATGGGCAACATGGTGTGCTTAGGCCGCTGGCCAGACCCTGCGGGGCGAGTAGAATGGCCGCCGGCCGACCCCTAGGGAAGGGAGTAGGACTAGGAGTCCTAGGACTTAGCCATGGGTGGCAATCATGAGTTGTATGCGTGTTAAAGCATGAAATATGGGCCGGATTGGCAAGTCATGTGGACAATCGTTGATGTGTGGCTTAATGAATGAAATTTAAAATATTGGAACCTGGATTATTGAAGCGAGCAGCCCTCGGAGAGTGAGGCCTAAGCGGTTGAGGTACTAAAAAAAAAAAAAAAAAAGGGAGGGGGGGAGAAGAGGCGAAAGAACGAAAGACAAGGAGAAGTGTGAGATGATGAAGATGTTGACTCTTAAGGAGGCCACACTATTTGGCCAGCACCAGCCCAATTTAACGGGACACGAGAGGGTCACTTGCGCGACAAGCGCACGAAGCATATTCCTACGCACAATTGACACGATGGGCAAAGAGCTCACGAGACAAGTCACGTTATCATAAAAAATGTGCAAAGCACAATCCGGCAGCCCACCCCGAGCTCGTCGAACATCGAGAGCCCTCGGGTGCACATACGGCAAGCCTAAGGACGTGTATATTAGGCGTTGAAAAAAAAAAAAAAAAAAACAACAACAACAACAACAACAACAACAACAACAACAAGGGAGAGAGAGGTGAACGTATCAATATGAAAGAGAAGGGGAAGGGTGGGTAAATGGCCTACCTCGTGAGGGTTCGGCCATACACTGCCCCGTTGTTCGCTAGTACATGCACTTGTATTAATAGCAACTATAGCTGATGCAAAAAAAAAAAAAAAAAAAAAAAAAAAAAAAAAAAAACGTCTTCACAGCCTGTCCCCTTTTTTGCGACCCGTTGCACAGATCCACCAGATGGCGGGATGGGCGAGCGACACATCCCCTACGAATACGCGGTCACAGATAAACTCGTCCCAAGGATGTGCGGTCGGCTACGCTTGGCATTCCCATGGTGGAGCTCATGGTGCGACAGCAGCTTCATACTCTCAGTGATACTTCACGGTTACTGGATGCCGTGGGAACTCATCCCCCCAGCGCCGTTCCAGCGCGACAATCACGCGGGCGCACAGATCCACGCCCAGTTTACCAAACAGGCTATTAGCGAGCTCCTAGAAAGCGGCGCAGCTGCTCTTGCCCCCGCGGCTCAGACAGTATGCATTAGCCCACTGAACGTGGTGGTCCAAAGAGAGAAATGCCGACTGATCCTCGACCTCCGCCAAGTGAACCTGCACCTGCGCATTCCAAAATTCAAGTACGAGGGGCTCAATCGGGTTGCGGAGATCGCTCGCGTGGGCGACTGGATGTTCTCTATCGACCTAAAGTCTGTGTATCACCACGTGGATATTCACCCATCGTGCTGGAAGTACCTGGGATTTCGATTTGACGAAAAGACATACGTATTCCGCTCGCTCCCGTTCGGCCTCGCGACGGCCCCATTCGTTTTTACACAACTGATCAAACAACTCGCTCGGCGCTGGCGAGCCATGGGCATACGGGTCATTCCTTATGTCGACGACATCCTCTTCCCTTGTGACACGGAAGCGAAAGCACGAGCCACATGTCAATCAATCATACATGACCTCAACAAGGCAGGGCTTGTGATCAACTCGAAAAAGTCGCATCTACAACCGACCCAGCAGTTGCGTTTCCTGGGCGTCGAGTTAGACACTGACCGTGGTCAGTTCTCTATCGGCGCTGAACGTCGAGCCTCACTACTCTCCACCCTCCAAGTCCTTCTGAGGGAAGGAAAGGCAGAACGCAAGGTCCCAGTCCGTCACATCGCCAGAGTCACCGGCATGCTGGCATCCATGTCACTGGCTCTTGGGGCGACGACACGAGCGTTCAGTCAAGGCCTGCTGCAGGCAATCCAGCAGGCACCATCATGGAATAGTAAAGTGCTGCTGGACCCTATGGCGATTGAAGAACTGGACTTTTGGCGCCACGAGTTCGACAAATTCAACGGCGCCCCATTTCACGTCCCCAACAGCTACGATGCCGTCATCCATGTGGATGCCAGCGCACACAGTTGGGGAGCGACGTTGGACAAGTTCCCAGGACGGCGTGTCGAGGCAAGTGCGGCAATGCCGAAGCATCTGCTAGAGGCATCCAGCACGCAGCGAGAGATAGATGGCGTTCTATGGGCACTCCAAACGTTTTCAGAAAGAATCCGCGACCAGCACGTCCTCGCAAGGACCGATAACCAAGGCGTTTTCTTCATCCTTCGGAAAGGTGGTTCAAGGCACACCAACCTTACAGCGACGTGCAAGTCGATCATCCAGACATGCATGACTTTTCGGATTCGGGTCGTGGTCGAATGGATCCCGCGCGAACTAAACACACGGGCGGATGAACTCTCCAAGGCGCTCGATCGTGACGACTACTCACTAAAGACACCTTGGTTCCGGCTCATCGAGCGCCGCCTGGGCCCGCACTCAATCGATCTATTCGCAAATGGGAGCAATACCAAGCTACCTCGGTTCTGCTCCAAAACACCGCACCCAGACGCAGCGGCAGTTGACGCATTCTCGATCCCATGGACCTCCGAGCAGGGATACGCATTCCCTCCACCGCACTTAATCCCAGCAGTGCTCCACCACGCGAAACGAACGCGCGCCGCCATCACTCTCGTCACGCCTTACTGGCCTGGCGCAAGTTGGTGGCCCCTACTGCAACCCTCCCCTCCTCAATGGGCCACCTACATTCACACCCACCTCCACCTCACGCACGATAGCCAGTGCCTGATGGCAGGCAATCACTCCAGCGCCTTCTCCGGCGACGGTTTGCCGTGTAGTCCTATGGTCGCACTACGCGTGTCATTGACCTGCTAACTGCTTTTGCACACGATGCAGGATTGCTGGAAAAACTCAAACATCGCCTACTCGAGATAACCACGCAAACGCGGGCCGACTCCACAATCCGTACATACGAGCCCTACTGGGTCAAGTTCCGCTCCTTTTGCCAACACCACAAGCTCAAGTTCCTCCCATGCACTGACATGACGCTCGCGCTGTACCTGGTCCACGCCATTCAACACAAGGCTACGGTGTCTGCAATTCAGTTGACATGCTCTGCAGTCAGCTTCGCGCATCGGTCAATTGGGGCATCATGCCCGTCCATCGGCGCATTCACCTCTCAAGTCAGAGATTTTGCGAAGAAGCGATGTCCGCACCCTACCCGGGCCAAAGAACCCGTGTCGCTTCATCAAGTCCACGCGATGGCATCAGAATTTCTACAGTCAGACAACCCTCGCGAATTTCAGAAGGGGCTAATACCGATCATAATGTACGCCGGGTTTCTGCGCTACTCCGACCTTGCAGTCATCAACTGGCATGAGATTCATTTCGAGCCGGAAGTCATGTGGTTACTAATACCCCGTTCCAAGACGGATCAGGCAGGAGAAGGCACATGGGTCCCGGTAGCGGCAAGCCCTGGCCCCTTTTGCCCACTTCGGTGCACCAAACGATTCATACACCTAGCACGATACGATCAATCGCAACAAGGCCCACTCATCCGCGTCTTTGGAACAGAGGGTGGGAAAAACGGTGCCGCCAAGTCGCCATCCTACACCACAATCCGCAACTGGTGCAAAGAGGCCTTCAACAAAATCGGTCTTAGTTTCGAGCATCTCGGCACCCACTCTTTTCGGAAAGGTGCAGCAACTGTCGCAGCCAACGCCGGAATATCAGACCGCATCCTGAAGTGACTAGGAAGGTGGAGCAGCGACACCGCCAAGGAGACGTACATCACGCCTGCCGCAGACCAACTGGTGGGGGCTTCGAAGCAAGTTCAAGACCCAGCACGAGCCCTCTCCCCCGCTCAACACGCCACGACAGTGGCGCGCCAACGGCGTCCAACAAGACACATGTCTCAGAAGACCCATTTGAAATGAGACGATGCCATTGCTACAACAAGAAAGCAAGCTTTCTAAAATATGAATATTTTTAAAAAGCTGTAACGCTTTTCAAAATTTTGTATTTTGAAAGCGAAGCGGCTTGTAATGTAGCAATGTCATCGGCGAACCGCGCTAAACGTCCGTTTTGGAGAACAAAACGTGGGCTGGAGGTCATTTCCCTCCACCCACGTCTTTCATTTTCAAACGGCTTAGCCTAGTTTCCCGCCCACCCACCCCGTAGAACTGGGACCAATTATGGATAGTTGATTGCTTTAGAATAATTGCATGCTAGCTTGGACATGTCTGTACTTTGCCATTTGAAATGAGACGATGCCATTGCTACAACAAGAAAGCAAGCTTTCTAAAATACTGTGTCTGCTGCTTTATTCTCCCCCAGCTCTTCAGCTTTCCCTACTTTGGGAAGTATTGATCAAAATGAACTCTTTGGACCCACCCTACTTACTGTCTCAAATAGGGCGAGGTAGATGAAAAATGAAATATGAACTATCATAATTTCCAGACTGTCTGGACGAACATGAAGGTAGTATGTCAAAATTAGTGGCTTGCGTCTGGCTTTTTGCCTTCATTTCAAAATTCCCTTTCTTATTGGAGTATTTGAAGTATCAGATAGGTTACTGTACTCAGTTGCTTGTAAACCAAGTGGCAGTGATGCACAGATGCAAGTGTCATTCTCAGCTTTTGTTAACTGCCGCGATTGGGCTCACATTCCTTCAGAAAAATGAGCAATTGCTAGTCTTGGAAGATCAATTGACACAGGTTCATTGCACCAGCAGACCCTACAAAAATGTTCGTCCCCGACCCACACCCGGCATTTATGTATCAATGCCCTCAATCCTGTCCTCCACATCTTGGTACAGCTGCCTGAGCCTGTCGATGTTATCCTCAGTGGTTTCCCAATAACCACGGCCATTGGCCTCCAGGAAGGTAGCCACAAGCTTGCGGAAAGAGTTGGGGTTGGTCTCGAGCAGCCTCTTCTGCATCTCCTCATCCTCAATGAATGTCGAGTTAGCCTCCTCGTACACCCAGTTGTCCACCTGAGGTAACATAAACCAGAACAAGCAAGAATTCTCAGCAACTACAGTGAGAAAGCACAGAAAGCTGGAAACAATGCAGATATGACAGCATTGGATGGCAAGAGACCAAGAAGGTGCATGTGGGGAGCAGAGGGGATAGGTGGAGGTGCTTACAGTGCCGGAGGTGGCGGACCAGCCCATGGTGTTGGTGAGGCGCTTCTCAATCTCCCTGACGCCCTCATAGCCACTGGACAGCATGCCCTCATACCACTTGGGGTTCAGCATCTTGGTGCGCGCGTCTAGACGCACTGTCTCAGACAGAGTGCGCACCTGTACCAAGGGAAGCGGGAAACAGGGACAAGGCGACCGTTGATTCAGTTCAAGGATACAGTGCAAACAGGCCAGGGTTAACGGTTTAAATAATACTAGGTGGCAAGCAGGAGAAGAAATGGGAACAACACTTACCTGGGCGTTGGCAGTGGTGGTGTCGGCAATGTAGGCGCTGGGTTTCTTCTTGTCCGTGCGCAGACTCTGCACCAGCTTGGTGGGATCGGAGTCAAAGTAGTGGCTGACATCAGTGAGCGAGATCTCGCTAGAGTCCAGGTTCTGGAACGTGGCATCGGCAGTTGCCAGGGCCTTCTCGAAAATCTCCCTCTTCTCAGCCATGCCGGCACCGGGGGCATCCGAGTCAAAGGCAAACGACTTGCGAGAGAGGTACATGTCCTGCAGCTGCTTCTCGTCGTTCCACGATGAGTTCTCAATGGCCAGGTTAACGTTGGAGGAGTAGGAGCCCGAGGCATTGGAGTAGACGCGAGTGGCAGCCTGGCGGACGGAGAGGCCGAGCTCGGCGGCCTGCTCCTTGGCGTGCTTGCGCACGAAATTCATTTCGTCAGGCTCATCAAGCTCCGCCACCAGCTTGATGGCGCGATCCAGCAGATTCATCTGGGGTAAGGGAACAGAGAATGGTAGACAAGGGTGGTGTTACAGTATGATGGAACACGCACAGGGGTAAGGTGTGGATGCATCAAACACAATGATCAGCCTTTGCACCACACAGGCATTTCCCTGCACACAGTCAAACCACCTTCCATCCAAAGCAGCCACCAGCCACCATCACTCCGCCCTCCCTCACAAGCAGCGAACCACAACCCCTGCACTGACCTGGTTGATGAACAGGTCGCGGAAGACGCCAGAGCAGTTGACCACCACGTCCACACGGGGCCTGCCCAGCTCCTCCAGCGGAATCGCCTCCACCTTGTTCACGCGGCCCAGAGCGTCAGGCACAGGGCGCACGCCAACGATGCTGAGCACCTGGCCGAGAGACTCGCCGTACGTCTTGATGTTGTCCGTGCCCCACAGCACCAGCGCAATGGTCTCGGGGTACTTGCCGTCGTTCTCCACCTTCTGGCGCTCCAGCAGACGGTCCACCACAATCTTGGCGCTCAGCATGGCCGCGGTGGTGGGGATAGCCTGCATGGACAGCAGGGCGGACAAGTTATGAGTATAGAACAGACCTTAATAGACAGACGGACTATATACATAAGCTAAAAGTGTGTTAGAGCAGGGAAAGGAAGGGTGGGTGGGTGGGTGGAGGGGGGAGAGAGGGTAGGGAAGAAAGGGGAACGTGGAGGGGAGGGGAACGTGTGAGGAAGCAAAACAAGGACAAAAGGTCGTCTGGAAGCGCAGCCACAGCAGACTCACCTGGGGGTCGAGCGCGTGGATGTTCTTCCCTGTGGGCAGCACCTTGGGGTTACGGATCGGGTCACCACCTGGCCCAGGCTCCACGAACCTGCCCTCCAGAGCCTGCTTGAGCCCGCCCAGCTCATTATCCGCAGTCACCTGCTCCAGGCAGAAGCCCAGGAACTCAAACAGCGTGCGCATCTCCTGCTTGTCCGCGCCAGCAAACTTGGTCTGGTTCAGGGACTTGACCCACGGCTCGTTGAAGCTGAGCCCGAACACGGATCCCAGCTTCGAAGCCACGTCCACCACCTGCCCCTTGCTGTTGGTCGTCTGCTCGACGAACGCGGTGATGGCCGTGCGGCAGGCCTGGGTGATGTCGTTCAGGAGAGTCACGTCCTTGAGAATACCCTTGTCGTTCCCGCGGTACACGTCCTCAATGTCGCGACCAACGGAGCGGGCAAGAATGCCCGGCAGGCCCCGGATCTTCTCCTCGGGGCGGTCGATCGCACCTATGTTCACCAGGGTAGCCACAGCCTCCATGGCGGACGGAGGCTCGCCGATCACGTGCAGGCCGCAGGGGAGCAGACGGGACTCGATCTCCATCAGCTTGCCGTACACTCTGCCGACGACCGTGTCTCTCTCCTCGGATTCCAACACCGCGTCCTCCTCGGGGAGCTCCACGTCCTTATCCAGATTGCACTGCTTCGCGGTGGAGATAATGGAGCTCACGATCTGCTGCCCGCGACCGGTGTCCTTGAGCCCCTGGTAGGAGGAGATGAGCTCGCTGAGCTGTTTCAGACCCTTGTACAACCCCGCGTTCTCAGCGGGCGGGGTCAGGTAGCTGATCGTGTTGGCGTAGCTGCGGCGCTTCGCGATCGTCGCCTCGCTGGGGTTGTTAGCAGCGTAGTAGTACACGTTCGGGATGTTGCCAATGAGCGAGTCGGGGAAGCACATGTCGCTCATGCCCACCTGCTTACCGGGCATGAACTCCAAAGAACCGTGGGTACCGAAGTGCAACACGGCGTCAGCCTCGAAAATGTGCTCCAAGAAGGTGTAGTACGCGGCGAAGCCGTGGTGGGGAGACGCGGACTTGGAGAACAGCAGCCTCATGGGATCGCCCTCATACCCGAAGGTAGGCTGCACGCCGATGAACACATTCCCGAACTGGCGCCCGTACACCAGCAGGTTCTGCCCGTCCGAGTTGAGCTTCCCGGGGGCCTTGCCCCAGCTCTCCTCCAGCGCCTTGTGGTACGGCGTCAGGCGCTCGTACTCGCGGGTCGGCATCCTGTACGCGATATTGAGGTCCGGACTGTTGTACTTGGCCTCCTTGTCGTGGATGATCTCTTCGATGAGATCCCCCGAGTTCTCGGGCAGGCCCTCCACGTTGTACCCGTCCTTCTTGAGCTCGGTGAGCACGGAGTGGATGGAAGAGAACACGTTCAGGTACGCCGCCGTGCCCACGTTGCCCTTGTCGGGAGGGAAGCTGAACACCGTGATGGCGAGCTTCTTCTCGGCCTTGGGCTTGCGCCTGAGCTCGGCCCACTTGACCGCCCTGGTGCACAGCTGCTCCACCCTGTCGTACAGGGCGTGCGACTTGCCTGCGCGCAAGCACAGCGGAAAGAATCGGGTCAGGATATTATTGATGAGGCTCACAATGGAACAGCCACCTTAGGAATTGAAAGAGCTCACAACCAAGAACAGCAATGCAATATAAACATAACAGACATTCGCACGGAAAGATAGAAGGTGGCTTACCGGTCCGGCTGTCGCGGCCAGAGAAGACAATAGGCTCGAGACCACCGTCAAGCTCGGGGAGGGCGACCTGCAGAGCAACCTGGATCGGATGCAGGCCAAGGGAGCTATCCATCCACTCGTCAGTAGTCTGGAACACCAGCGGCAACGCCACGAGGTACGGCACGTCCAGCTTCTGCAGCGCCTGCACCGCACGCGGGTGGTCCTGGCTGGCGGGGCCTCCTACGAGCGCGAAACCGGTGAGTGACACCACGGTATCGACCATGGTCATCTTGGAGATGGGGTTGATGAAGAAACGCTCCACGGGGTTCGAGAAGTCAAGCCCGCCCGCGAAGATCGGCACCACCTTGGCGCCGCGAGCCTCCATCTCCATGATCACAGCGGTGTAGTGCGCGTCGTCGCCCGTCACGATGTGGCTGCGCTGCAGGATAACTCCGACCACCGGAGCCTTGTCGCCCTTGAGGTTCGCCGGCAGGTCCTTGCGGGTGTCGTACCAGTTGAGGTACTCCTTCACGTCATCGTACATGGTCGGCGCCAACGGATGCCAGATACCCGTGTCGAGGAACACAACCGGATCGCTGAAGGTGATCCCGAGATTCTTCGCGTCAGGCACGTACGAGTTGGAAATCATGAGGAGGAAGTTCTCGAGGTTGTCAGGTGAGCCTCCGAGCCAGAACTGCAGGCTCATGATGAAGTTACGCGCGTCCTGAGCCTTGTCCGTGGGCAGGTACTTGAGCACCTTGGGGAGGGTACGGATGAGCTTCAGCATGCTCTCCTCGAAGCCCGAGCCCGCCTCCTGACGCTTCTTCTTCATGAACTGGGCAATAGCGCTCTGGGACTGGCCGAGTTGGGACATGGAGAATGTCCCCAGCTTGTTCAGCCGCATCACCTCGGGCATGGACGGGAAGACGAGCACGGCATCCATGCGGTCACGCTGGGCCTCCACGGCGGCCTTCACCTTCTGGGCCAACTCCTCAACAAAGATGAGCGAACCGATGAAGACATTCGCATCCTCCAGGTCCTTCTGGAACATCTCGTAGTTGTCCGCGTCACGGAGCTCCTCGACAAGGTAGCCAACGACCTCGACGTTCAGGTCCTTGCGCGTCCGGTTGATGTTCCGCACGGCTTGGCTGAGAGCGGACTGGTACTGAGCCTCCAGGACGACGTACACGACCTTCACCACCTTGGTGCCGGGCTTGGCCTCTGGGATGATACGCCTGACTTCGGGCCTGGTCTGGGTGAAGAGACCGTTGCCCATCATGGCAGTGGTAACCTGAGAGTAGAAAATGGTTCTTTAGTTCAAGTTGCCGTAATTTAAATGCTACAAATGTTGTGAAATTGCGTTATCGATGCTTACCGCCTTAGATGGCTTTGAGGCCACCATGCGAGAGTTGCTCTGCAGGTTCCAGAGGAAAGGAAAAAACCGTTAGATATGAAGCCAATCGGAATTAAGAAACCAAGGAAAAACAGCAGGTGAAATTCTGCCACACCTGACGCTTCGACCCATCGAGGACATTGCGTTGACGAAGCCCCGAAAAGCTGTCTGCGATGGTCACACGGCCTGGACAGGAGGACGCAGAGGCAAGGGGTGGGTGGATACAAATTCAGCTACATGACGCCATGAAGCCTCAACAAGATAGGAAAACAAAAAACTGCCGAACTTCATCGGGATTGAATAACATCAATTCGCACCTTTCTCTGAAGCGGTAGCCTTCGGTGCCAAGGCCGACACGCCAGTGGCGTGGCAGGCAAGGAGCGAGCGAGCGGCAGCAGTTTGCATGATGGCAGATTATAGAACACCGAGGACGCGCTACGGAGCTCGCGGTGTCTAGCCGATCGTCTGCTCGATCGCTAATGCTGGTCCAAGACTGCGGCTTGAATGGAGACTTTGGCACGAGGCCTGTCTCACACTTCAGACAGAAGATAAGGACGAGGACCCCAGTACAGGGCGACCTTGCCTTAGCTGCTTGCTGAATGCCTGCTAGAGGCTACACTGCTGAAATGCAGCAATTGGGAATTGGTAACTTGGAAAACTTACTGAGAATGTGGCCTCTATCAGCTCCCGTGTTCCAGGGCGAACGGAAACCCCAAGGGGTAGAATTCCTAGGGAAGCGTGGATTGCGGGGTGACTCGACCACAAACTTTCACAACCAGTTGGCTCCACATCAGCTTTATCGAGGCTACGGCTAATTTCTATTGGTCCACCTGGCAAAGGCTTCTGATTGCGAGTTGCTGCGAGTGGTTGTTCCGCCTTGTCAAGGGATAGGAGAAGGTGACGTATCCCAGTGGTTCTTGTACCGAGGTCGGCTTATAAAATTTCAGCGATGGTTTCGCCAAAGGCTTGAAACCTTCGCTAATCGCAGAGGGCTGGTTTGTCCCCCCATTCAACAACTCGCCCTCAAAGGCAGTCCTGCGCGTGCGAGCTGATGAAGATTTTTGGAGAATGACGTAGGCAGTCTATGTACCGTACACGTAGGTTAGTGAAAGGTGCTGTTGCTGTAGTAAGAGATTCTGAAAGTCATTAGGCCAATCATCGCTGGCTTTTAGATCCTGTGAAACGTGGATACTTTCTGCGTGGGTACGAGACGAATGATAATGCAAGCAATTCACCTTGGCCATCATTACTTATGCTTTGGTCTCCAAGGCTATCGGAGCTCGCACAAACTCCCTAGCTATATAACTGTTACGAGTGCAATTGAGTGAGTGAGCGAAGATTGCACTATCGAGGCAAAGAATACAAATGAGCGAAAGATTGAACGAAGAATATATAGCGAAACTATGGTGGTAACGGTAACGTGGGGAAATGGGGTGTGCGACGGGCCTGGTGCCGAGGTTGGGGACTGTCGAGGCGGAGTTCCGGAGCGCGGGTTACCAACCGAACCGTGAGGTTGGGTCGCATCGTGTACAGTGGCGGGAATGGTGTCGAGGCGAATGTCGCGAGTGGTAACGGAAAATTGTGGGGTGCTTGTTGGCGGGAACAGTGGTGTCCGCGCTGAGCAGGGACGCGAAGTAAAGAAAAAGAAATTTCCTTACAATAACTCGCTAACTACATATGACTATCGGTTAATATAAGTATTTCAAATTCTGTACGGAAGAGGTTGATTTCACCATCTAACCAGGGCCTCAGATTCGTTTTGGCCTAGGCTGAATCGTCAGCCTTAGGAGTGAGCTGAAGGCTGACCAATCAGGGTAGCCTTAAAAAAAAAAAGCTGAAATTTCAGTGTTTAGTTTAGTTAAATGGCTGATCATTCAGCCTTGCTTAAAAAGAAAGGCTGAACATAACTTCAAGCTTTCCTATAGCGCAACACAGTCATTCAGTTTCAAAGTGTGGCATTGAGAAAAGGGCATGCGACGTGCTTCCAACAGTGCACACGACGTGCCTACAACTTAATACACGAAGATACCTTCTGTCGGCGACAACAGTGCGCGCGGCATGGTGAATCCGAGCGAATCTCCTGTGATTGGGCGAATTTCTGGTAAAACATGCTGTGTCAGAGCGAATTTATTGTGATTGAGCGAATTTGTTGTGCTCTGACGGGGCGATTTTCTCTGTTGGGGCAAATTTGCTGTCTCAGGGCGAATTTGCTGAGTCAGGGCGAATCTGCAGTGACGAGTCAAGTAGAAACACTTGCATCAAGAAACCAGAAGCTAGATTGTACATTCGTGCCATTTGATTGGTCAGGCAAGTTTTGGTAAAATATCCGATACGTCAGAGGGTTTCAGCACTACACGAATCTCCACTAGTGGGATTTCAGCCTACATCCCCGTTACAACGCGGATCTGTCAGTTTACACCTCTAAAAAAACTCTGAAATATCAGCCCATACTAAGAAAAAAAGTCTGAAAAATCAGCCCATACAATACAAAAAAAGCTGACAAATCAGCCCCACTAAATCCCTAGCATTGAAAACCTGACATTTTTACCCCTAATCAGCCTTTTTTCGCTGACTTCTGAGGCCCTGCATCTAACCCAACATACTGGTGTTTGAACAAGTCCATACATCACCATGACTATGTCAGAACATATATATAGCTTATGCTGTTGTGTAGGCTATAGTGGGGTATCCCATAGGGGGTACAACCCAATTAGGGTTTCCCATATGTACTCACTTCATTCATAGTTCATCCATTTCTCGTTCTACTTTTCTCATGGTATCGAGCAGGTTCCCTCGTGGGAACTGTTCCTAGGGCCCACCGTTTTTTTTTTCCTGCCCGGAGCGCACTCTGCCCCTACCCGAGTCGCGCTCCCCTCTCTCTTGGCCCCTAGTGGCCCCTTTAGCCGCCCGTCACGGCCCTTAGACGCCCGCGCGCCGCCCGTCCCGGCCCCTTAGACGCCCGCGCGCCGCCCGTCCCGGCCCCTAGACGCCAGTGCGTCACCCGGCCCGGCCCCTAGACGCCCGCGCGCCGCCCGTCCCGGCCCCTAGACGCCCGCGCGCCGCCCGTCCCGGCCCCTAGACGCCCGCGCGCCGCCCGTCCCGGCCCCTCGACGCCCGCGCGCCGCCCGTCCCGGCCCCTCGACGCCCGCGCGCCGCCCGTCCCGGCCCCTCGCCGCCCGTGAGCCGCCCGTCCCGGCCCCTAGACGCCCGCGCGCCGCCCGTCCCGGCCCCTAGACGCCCGCGCGCCGCCCGTCCCGGCCCCTCGACGCCCACGCGCCGCCCGTCCCGGCCCCTAGACGCCCGCGCGCCACCCGGCCCGACCCCTAGACGCCCGCGCGCCGCCCGTCCCGGCCCCTCGACGCCCGCGCGCCGCCCGTCCCGGCCCCTCGACGCCCGCGCGCCGCCCGTCCCGGCCCCACGCCGCCCTACCTGCGGCCTACTCGCCGCCCTACCTGCGGCTCGCCCGCCGCCCTAACTGCGGCCCGCCCGCCGCCCTACTTGCGGCCCTACCGCCGCCCTGCCTGCGGCCCGCCCGCCACCCTACCTGCGGCCAGCCCGCTGCCCTACCTACGGCCCGACCGCCGCCCTACCTGCGGCCCAACCGCCGCCCTACCTGCGGGAGCCGCCTAGCAGCAGAACCGCCGGGAGCCGAGCCGCCCTGCCGCCGAGCCGCCCGGGAGCCGAGCCGCCCTGCCGCCGAGCCGCCCGGGAGCCGAGCCGCCCCGCCGCCGAGCCGCCCGGGAGCCGAGCCGCCCTGCCGCCGAGCCGCCCGGGCGCCGAGCCGCACTGCCGCCGAGCCGCTGAGCAGCCGAGCCGCCCTACTGCCGGGCCGCCCGACCTGCCCTGTCCGGTGAGCACAGCCCCACTGTCACTGCGTGCCCTTCCCCTACTGCTTGCACTGCTCGTCTGTCGTCGTCATGGCTACCCCTAGTGTCCTCGCTTTTGACGCTGAGGGTCGAGCCATTGACTTTGAGGTCTGGGTCGACGACCTGCAGCTGTTCTTACAGTGCGATAGGGCGGACGGTCTTTCCCTCTTTGACCTCACCTCTGGCGCCTCTCCTGCCCCTGCTACTGATGCTGACCCCACTGTTCGCTCTCAGTGGGCCACCCGCGATGCTGCTGCACGTCTTGCTGTACGTCGCCACCTGCCTACCACTGAGCGCGCGCACTTTAGTCAGTACAAGAGTGCTCAGACCTTGTACGACGCTGTAGTTGCGCGCTACTCTTCCCCTGCCACTGCTGCCCTGAGCCGCCTCATGCTACCGTACCTCTTTCCTGACCTTGCTGCCTTTCCCACTGTCGCTGACCTCATTACGCACCTCCGCACTAGTGACACTCGCTACCGCGCCGCCCTTCCTGCTGAGTTCTGCGCCAAGAACCCCCCCCCCATGTACATCACTCTCTATTACATCGTCACACGCCTCCCTGACTCCCTTCGCGTAGTCAGGGACCACTACCTCTCGGTCTGTCCCACCACTCTCACTGTCGACCTCCTCGAGAAGTCCCTCCTGGCGGCGGAGAAGAGCATCGTCGCTGTAGGAGCCTCTCGTGGTGACCCTCGCACCCCCATCTTTGAGGGGTGTTCTCCTTCCCCCCTGCTGCCCTCTGTTGCCTCTGCTGCTGCTGCCGACCTGCTTGGTCTTGAGTCGGTCTGCGCGGCGTCTGCCCCTAGCGGGAGACGCCGCCCTGGCAGGGGCAAGGGGGGCAAGGGCGCGGGTGGAGCTGGCGGGGGCGGTGGAGGAGGCGGTGGAGGCGGAGGAGGGAGTGGGGGTGGCGGTGGGAGTGGTGGCGGGGGCGGTGGTGGAGGTGGCAGCAGCGGAGGAGGAGGCGGCGGTGGCGGCAGCGGTGGGAGCGGAGGCAGCGGTGGTGGTGGAGGTGGAGGC